GCCCTCTTTTTTTTTTTTTTTTTTTAATTTTATTTGCTAAGTTGCTGAGGCTGGCCTTGAATTTGGGATCCTCTTGGCTCAGACTCTGTGTAGCTGGGATTATAGGCATGTGCTGCCGTGCCTCGTTGAAAATACAGTTTTTTACTGAGACAACTTGATAATTCACTAAAAAATTATGAGAAGAAGTCACTGTATAAGATAAACTTCCTAGATATCATTTGAACTTATTTTAAGAGGTGGCCCAAAGTATTACAAACCAGTGAGGAAGGCATGGTTTCCCCACAGTAGGCTTTGAAATAATTGACTACACAGGAAAAAAGTGCCAGTGAAGTTACATCAACCAGTACCACAAAAATAAACTCCAGTTTCAAGTGATTTAAAACTTTAAAATAAAATGTAAAAGTATGTCTAATTTCAGGACAAAAAATTAGAACAAAAATAGAAACCTGATAATATGTTTATATAAACAAACATGAAAAAAAACTAAGTGAAGGAAGAGTATTTGTAGAAATTGAAAGGCCTAGTATGTTTCTGAAAGAGAAGACATCACAGAAAAGATGCAAATTTCTCAGAAATTAACCAATAGACTTAAATGAAATCACATGTTTATTTTTAGAAACAAATGATTCCAAAACATCACCTGCAAATAGAAACAGAAGGAAATAGTCCTAAAAATTATATTGAGAGATTTGTCCTATGAGAGATTATTGTAGATATTATCGACATTTATATCTATCCTAGTGAAATACAAAGTGGTTTGTGATGAAACGACAGATCGGCAAAGGGGCAAAGGGCCCAGGAAACATAGGACATTCAGTCACATTCATCATGTTGCTATGTGATCAAGTTAGAACAAACTCTGTGGAAAGCCAATGGATAATATTTACTAAGTACATTATATGCTCGTAGTCTTTTCTCTAGTAATTCTGAAATTGGAAATGAGTTTATCAGAAAACATCCCTTTTATCTTTATTTATTATCAAGATAAATGTGGAACCAACCTAAGATTTCTGCAACACAGAAATAGATATTAATGATAAAGACACCATGATTTAAAGGCACAAAAATATGTACGTTAATCTAAATGAAAAGTAACTCAAGATGAGAAATTACACTACCAAAATTTCAGATCATAAGGAAAAAAGACAAATATAAGAAGTTTTCAATAGGAATATACAGCAATATCTGTAGCTGTCACCATGGGGCTTTTCTGTGGGGGGTTTTCTTTTCATTTCCTAGATTGTTTAATTTTGTTTTGTGATGTACCACTTGAATAAACATCATTAGACAGAATAAACTAAGTGACTGGTATCTTCTAAGTCCTTACAAGAGAGTTTCCTCATCCATGTCACAAGATGCTTTATACCAATCAGCACATTGCAGTATTCATTTCATAGGACTTGTGCTCATGTGTTTAGAGAAGCCAAAGCTTGTTCTGCCTTTTGGCCACACATTTGACTCACCGTTCTCTGCGTTTTGATATCATGCATAACGTGACAATGACCAGCAAGAGAAGAAGTCCAGGGCCTAGGAAAATACCTGGGGGCGGGGGAAGAGTGGGTGTCAGATGCCAAGAGGTCTGTGTGAGGGACCCATCATGGACCCTGTGGTAGGGAAACGTATACGACTTTTATACTTAACTTTCCTCAGTCATGAATACTAAATTCTCAAATGATCATAACTGGGCCTACGGTTTTTCTGAGTTGAGTCAGTCTGCATTTACTAAAGCACCATTTACACAAGCATGGGTTCCAGACCACTAACTGTGGAGTTTTTCTGGTCCTTCCAGTTTTATTAGCAACATTTTTGTCATCATGTTGAAATCAGAGCAGAGGACACCAGGGTCCCATGTTTTGCATAGCGACATTTGACTCTCATTTGGAAACGTATTACTATAGCAGAGTAAGAAAAGCTATTTCAATAGTACCAGATCACGCAAAACACCAAGAGTTAATAGACTGAAACTGAATTTAAAAATCAGGGGTAGTTGGCTGTTTAAATATTATCTAACTCTATCCCAAAGGGACATTTTGTAAAGGGACAAGTACATTAAAATATATTTAAAATGTCAAAGAAGGCCATAACTATTGAGTTAAAATGAAAAAATACTAACAGGTAGGATATAGAATATACACGTATATGTATATGTATAAAACATCATAGGAGGTTTTCTTCAAGAATTTAAGGAAACTTACCATAAAACAGAGGATCAGACGAACCTAAGGAGAACACAAAACCAGGAAAATGTCAGTCTATCTGTGTGATTCAGTGTGGCCCAAGTCCCAGCATCCTCTGGTTCTGTCCCAGAAGTCAACACTCAGGTCTCTTCCAGGTCTATCTAGGATGCAACCGGTCCTGAGTTGCAGCCACTCTTTTGTATAAAGCCTCAATGTATTTTATTTTCACTTTAATTAGGTAGGTGGGAGAGGTTGCCAAGGGAGTAAAAGAGGAAGTACTTGGCTTTATAGCTGGTGTTTTCCCAGGACTCAGGGCAGATCTTAGTTGCTGCCACAGTGAGTTAATGTGTGGCACTCCTGCCAAATTGGTCAGCACCCAGAAATCAAGACTTAGCAAGCAGAGAAGTCTCTGCTGTGTGTCCTCTCTACATGGAAGGCTGTTAGCTTTACATTTTTGCTCCTTTTGAGTTAGTGTTCTTTTCTTTTATTTCCCCACCCTTGTGAAGCTGTGCTTTTTCCAGAATGGCCCGCCAGCTTCAAGTTCACCTGTCAGTGCACCGTTGGACACGGATGCGTCAGCCGAAAGCCTGCCGAGGGAGCCCCTCCACGGTCAAAGGAAGCAGCAGTGAAGCTTAGCACTTACGGGACCTGCAGGTGGCCAGAGGCGGGTTCCACTGCTGGTCGTCCTGGCACTGGCTCTGGGGGCTGCCCTCCAGGGTGTACCCGTCTTCGCACTCCATGGTCACGATGGCCCCATACTGGTACATCTTCCTGGGCTCCAGCCCCTTCTGGATCCCGTTTGTGTCCTCAGGGGCGCTACAGTTGACCTCTGCAATAAAGGAATCGACAGGAAGCAAAGACAGCAGAAACTGCCCTTAATGGAAACGCTCACAAAACCAATTTGTTTCATTCTCAGAAGCAGAGCCTCAGGAAATCATGTCCTAAGCTCGGCCTCTGCTTATTAACCCCCAGGGAGATTTCAGCCAGATGGCTTTCTTTCTGCGTCCAAGTCTCTGCTAATAGTACCAGAGGAGTCTGATGGCCTCTCAGAGAAATCATAGGGCAGCAGGAAGCACATGGGACACTCTGAGTTACTGTCTCTTTCTGCTTCTTGTGGACGCTTTAGTCCTTGGCACCACGCCTGTGCTTTCTCATTTCTTCCTGGTGGGATCTTGGACTTGATCCTGACACTACTACTTCCTGGTCGTGTATTCGGGGTTAGTCACAGTCCCTGGAGCCTTGTCTGGACCACAGGGATCACAATGGCAGCGACCTGCTGTGGGTCTTATGGAGACTAAATGAGATCATGTGGTAAAGGACACCGCCCAGGATCTGGCGCACGTTGGGTGCTCAGCGATACTGATACGAAGTTATTGCTCATTCCACACAGTGTTTAGGATCACGAATCTTTCTAAAACTTTTACAGAACTCTATGCATAAGCCCAACACCATTCTGAGGAAACAGATTCAAAAGGCTATTGAGCTCTTTATTGGTATTTTATCAAGTGCATTCTTGTCATTAACTGTAACCACAGGAACACCACCAGCTGTGCTTGTTTATGAATGTACTTCAGCTTTCTATACATAAATACCTAAGTGGTCATTTGCTGGTCAGACTACAGCCTAAACCATTTTTCTTATTTTGAGATACTTAAATTCAGTAGTAAATTAACCCAATCAAGTGCAGTTAACTAAATGGTCCAATTGATGCGTTTCTTTGGCTACTCTAAGTTGAGAGCACCTAACTGTGAACTTACCTGTTTGGAACAAGGGATTTACTAAGAAGAACAAGAGGAAACGAAGAGCACGCACCTTCACAGCGTGGGGCAGCGTGGCTCCACGCCCCCTCGTGTGTGCACAGGAGGAGGGGCTCCCCCACCAGCGCATAGCCCTGCTCACAGGCATACAGCACCGACATCCCAGGGAGAAACCGCGCCGCATTTCCGCCAGTATGGTTCCCGTTGGGGACTGCGCCCGGAGGTGGACACTCTGAGGAAGCTTAGAGACCGGGGAGAAGGGAACTTTAATGTAGCGCCCAAGAATATCTGGATGACACCACTTCTCTGCGATGGCAGTGCAGAAAGGCGAGGGGCAATGTATGAGCCAATCAGTTGGTCACCAGAAACTTCCATTCCAACCAGACCAAGTGATGCTGGGAAGGTGTGCATTTTACACCTGCATCATGCAGGATCTGAGGGAACGCACCACATGGGAGATTCTGAAACATCAGGGGCCGTGGTCCACAACTGCAATCTATCAGACTCAAGTATGCACTTCTTGTCCCTTGAAAGAGCACACAGGCTACACCTAAGCAGCACACAGGTACTGGGAAGCAGAGTTGACAAAGTAGACTGCTTCCCCAAGCGGGCAGCCCTCAGATCTCACTGCTCCAGGTTCACTGTCTATCCTGGGCTATGGGGATGGGTCCCACCCAAAATAAGACCACTGTGCCGGCCAAAGAGAACCGTGCTGGGGAGATGAATTCCAGTGGGTCACAACTGGGAACCTGAGCTAGAGGTGATTACTGAAAAGAATGAAGCTGCCAACTGGCAACTAAGAAAGAGTACAAGAAAGAAAATTCAGTGGGGCTGAAGACCGGGATCATTGCCCAGAACCCCAAAGTTGCCCTTCTGGCAGGTGCTGTAGCCTCAAGGATCAAATTCTTAATAGCATCACTGCCAGACATTTGCACAAAAGGTGTGAGCCTTTTTCCCATTCTAAATTCATAAGAATAATAAATGTGGATCAGTGACTTTGGAAGTTCACTACTGTCCTGGCATGTACAATTGCTCAGTGAACACAGAAAAATGAAAAAAAGAGCTGGGTGATAAACAACGTAACTACCTTAGCTTTTAAATGCCTTTCTTTATGCGGAATGGGAAGCACACATTCAAAAGCCTTTATTTTGTACAACATCCGTATTTTAGCCCTTAGGACATCTCACCCTTTCGGATGCAGGTTGGTATCGCCGGTACCCATGTGTTATCTGTATGGCACCTTATAAGGCGACTGCCTTTCATGATGAAGCCCGGGTTGCAAGCAACCCACACTGTGTCATTGTGAGAGTACGACTCCCGGGTCCCGTTGAGTGGGTGCCCGTGTTTGATGTCTGGGCTCGGGCAGTGAGTTCCAGGGGGCGAGCGCAAGCACTGCGGGGGAGGCCCGCTCCAAGTTCCGTGCCCTTCAGCATTCGTTCTGCACTTCAGGCTTCCCTCTCCCGAGAGGTAGAAGCCCGGGTCACACTCATAGGAGACTTCGTTTCCATACAGGAAGCGTTTCTCCAGTGCGCCTCTGGGTCGCCCGTTGGCAGTCCGTGGTGGGGGCTGACACTGGACAGCTGCAGAGGAGATTCGGGGAACTCGGCTTCAGCCAGGGCATCCGGGGTCTGCCTCCAGACAGACCACACTGCCCCTGCATCACACACACAACCAGCCACATAAGCCTTGGAACCTGGTTTACGCTGTTCATTAAACAACTTCATAAATGCTGCGCTTATATGAGTCACACATACTTACTCTAAAACATCCAGAAAACACAATAAAGTATAAGAAAGAAATATGCCTAAATTTCCATGACCTAAAAATATGGGCTGTTTTTATGTTTAGCAAAATTAGCAGACATACGGCAACTGCTTGATTTCTAACGTCACAACTGTTACCAGTACCAGTATCCATCAATGTGGAAAGATTTTCCACATTTCTACATACGCATGCTGAGAAGGCAAAACTATCAAAACTGACTAGTTCTTTAGTGGCCTTCCCCTCTGACCACGTGTGTCCTCAGTTAGCTCTTTTATTCCCGATTTACCTTCACAGTGCGGACTTTTTTGAAACCAGACTCTGTTCTTGGCATCTTGACACTTCTTATAAGCATATCCAGTCACCTGAGACCTAGAGAGAGACACGTGGTAACACAGCTTTTTCCCCCCGATATCACATTGCTGCTGCCTGACCTCTTTGAACTATAAATACCATGACACTTCTAACGAACTTCAGCACAGAGAAGCTAAAATCCTGGGTCCTGCAAACACAAAACTACTTTAGACCTAGAGAGACCCACAGCAAAGTCCTTTCCACATCAAGAAAGCACAGAAAGGCCAGAGTTGCTGAAAGTCCTTCGTGGGTGTGCAGTGAGGGACAGCTGCAGGGACTCACCACAAGCGGTGGACGGAGTTGATGCCTACTACAAAGTGTACCCCTTTCTCAGAATGGACTGTCTCGTACTCGGTACTCACCCCTCTCCACAGGTTACGTCCACAAGCTCCACCTGGGAGCCAGCCGGAAGTTCTGTCACAGGCTCGCAGCCTTCTGGAAAAGCAAAGCTGGGATTACTTACAGATGTGGCCACATAGCAAAGAGAGAGACAGCCCCGGAACGAAAGGCCCTTTGGACCCTGAGGCAGGACTCCAGTGTCCCGAGGGCAGGCAGTGGCTGTCGCTGCCCACAGCCAGGGTCACAGGTGCTCTCAGCAGACTTCCCCAGACAGCAAAGACCCTGTTGCTCCCCAGGTGCTGATTAAGTGGGGCCCAAAAGAGCTGGCAGCCCGAGGAGAAAGCATCTCTCGTAAACACCCACACAGGGGCATTTCCAGTCCAAAGGCCATCCCAAACTTTCCGAGATCAGCGGCCAGGAAGCTCCCCTTCACTGCAGAATGCTTCTGCTGTTGTGAAAGAGCGAGGCCCCTTTCGAAAGGACTTCTCATCTTCCACCTTCCATACGTCCCAGTACTCCCTCCTCGGACTGGCACAGAACAATCGAGTGCGGGAAAAAAACGGGAGAGTAACCCAGCCCCGCTTGCTTCTCCCGGTGACGCTGGTTTGGAGTGTGGGGTGATGACGGGGAATAAGTAAGTAAACAGCAGCCCCACGGGGCTTTTACCTTTTAGACAGACTGGTAGTTCAGGGTCCCAGCTGTTATCAGCTTTGCAACGAATCTGACCACTACCCTTCAAGACATATCCACTGTCACACTTGAATGTCACACTGTCATTGTAGGAGTACGGGGCTTCCTTGCCGGGGAGCTTGTACCCGTGTTCATCGCGGGGATCTGAGCACCGCACGGCAGGCAGGGACAGCACGCACCGGGGGACAGGGCCGCTCCAGGCGCCTCTGCCCTGATCATCGCTGGTGCAGCGGATGGTGCGGTCCCCGGTGAGGTCGAACCGCACTCCCTTCTCTGGCCCGGGGTCACACGTGTAAGCGACCGTGGTTCCGTATGGGACGTTTTCGGAGGAGCTCCCCGTGTGTGTCCCATCATGGATAACAGGGGGTGGTGGGCAGCTGATTTCTATGGAGATGGAAAGATACTGTGTGAGTTGATCCCAGTGCCAAACACCAAGGCATAGAAGCCAAGCACAGTGTGACTCTTTGTTCCCAGGAAGGGAAGGATGGATTTTCATAACATGAGCTTCACCAAAACTCTCTTTTATATATCAAATTCAGTTGAAAATGATTGGACAGAAGAAAATCTTCACTAAGGGTAAACATACTGACCGCCACCAATGAAGCACTGGGCCCAGCGGTCAGTTGCTCGTGAAAGGAGCCAGTAGGAGAATAAAAGGTACAGGGGAACAGGGTTAAGCTTTTTTGAGCACCACCCTTGTGCAGAGATGGTATGATCATTTATATGATTATCGAAGCATATTTATCGTTGCTTGAGCACCTCCTCTGGGAAAGGCAGTTCATTAGGCAGGGAGTAGGACAATGTAATTGAATTCCAATAGTCCCGAAGTCTGTAGTTGTGCGCCAGTTTTACAGGTGGGAGACTAGAGTTCAGAGAAGTTGCATAAACTGCCAAGGTCGTACAGCTCTGAAGCAGGAGGAGCAGAATCTGAGTTCAGATCCGGGACCCGTGCCCTAGTGTCCCCACTAGAGCACTGTGTCCTAGATTATGGATGGCTGCTCATATCTCCATCACTGTAGTTATTCTTGTAATTTAAATGACAAAGGGAATCCGCAAGAACGTACATTTAACCTGGCTGATGGAAGTAGAAAAGAGTAATGACAGAAAGACGTGGCAAAATGATGCAAGTGTGACTACCGACGAAGTTAACAGAACAGAACCATGTACTGGTTCCCACGGCACGGCCTCAAACAGAAATCTCCAGACAGGGCCTGGATCTCGTATCATTCCAGATCCTCTGTACTTTTGGCTGCTCACCTTCGCAGAGCCGCGTCTCCCTGTACCACGGAGGTGTCCCTTGACACAGCTGATAAGCATTCTCACCCAGTCGGTACCTAGAAGCAGAGAGTTGTTTCGTTTGGCCACCCGGGGACCCCCCAAGCTAAGCGAGAACAACTGGCTGGAAAGCAGGCCCACCACTTTCGTGACAAGAAGCAAGAACAAAACGCAGCTGGTCTCCGTCTGCGTACATTGCGCAGTTCCATGCACGCGAAGACTGGCGTGGTCAGCACTCTGCGCACACACGACAGGGAAGGACTTTTGGGCTGAACTCACATGTGCACGGATAATAAGCCAGACCTGGTTTGGGCCGAGGCAGCCCTCACTCACCCTTCAACACAAGTGGAATAAACAGCTGGTCTAACAAATCTATCCCGAGGTTTTGTAAAGAGTTGAGGTCCTAATGGTTTACATTCTGCCGCTATGAAAAGAGACTAGGATGAGAAATCAGCTCCATGAAAATTTAAGACCAGCAAACTGTTGGTGCTTGAGGCCTGGTACCTTTGCATAGGGGAGGAGTGGGTGTCCACTTCCCCTCAGGGGTGCAGCGGATGGATTCCTCTCCCACCAGCTCATAAGTGGGGTTACAGCTGTATTTTATGGATGTGCCTGGGACAAACTGGACCATGTGTCCATCTTCCTTTTGGCCGTTGGGGATCTGAGGAGGGGCCTGGCACTCTAAAGCAGAGGGGAAAAAACCCAAAACAATCTTAAGTAAACAACAACAGAAAGAAACTGATCCAAAGAAGTTGACATTAATGTTATAGTTCCACTCTGGGTGCAGCATAGCCCACTTCTGGGGTAATTTCTGATCACTGCTTATTGTGTTATCTTCTTTTCTGCTCTTAGGCTGCTGCAAAGCTTGTTCTGATCCTGCTCAGTGTAACTTCTCTCCTGTCCTTTCCCTTCTTAAGGAGGCATCTTGGGTGCTTTTACAGAGATTTTGACCTACCCCTGAGTGAGGGCTTTTAAGGAACTGCTGTTAAAGACAAACAAGAGTTCTGCTCCCATTTCTTTCCCTAAAGAAATGCAAAACTTAGAAATCCTTAACATTTTTCTCCCCCAGCATATTTCCACAAAATGGAGCCAGGGTGGAAAGGCAATGTCACACAGCCCTCACAAGAACTTACATCTACTATATTCAGAGTGGCCGAGGGTCTGGAGCTGGCAAAGGCTTGTGTCAAGCACACCACCCCTTCCTGTAACTTTTCAGAGTGATGCACCTTGGAGCACCGGATACCCACCCTTCTCACAGACTGGTACTGAGGGCTCCCATGTGCCCTGGGCATTGCATCGGATTCTCCTGCTGCCCTTCAAGGTGAAGCCAGACTCGCAAGCAAATGCCACAGTGTCATTATAGGCATATTGATTTTTCTGCGTCGATAGCATTTGACCTCTTAGGATCTGGGGATGAGGACACCGGACCACAGCAGTAGAAAGTTTGCAGTGTGGGGAGGGACCACTCCAGGTCCCTCTCTTCTGACTATCCATGGTGCACCGGATAGTTTTCTCCCCAATAAGGACGAAGCTCACTCCCTCCTCTGGGGCTGGGTCACAAGTGTAAGTCACGGTGCTTCCATATGAAACATTTGTTGGAGAGCTGAGTCTTCCATTGAGAATAGGAGAAGGTGGTGGGCAGAGAATTTCTAGAGAAATGACAGAAACAGCACAGATCACTGACAGCTGCAACTAAGAGTGCTTGAGGGGCTGTTGGAAACCACTCTCGCAGCCTAAATTCCAGGACAGTCACATTTTGACACGTTGATAGTGCAATTGATGAAATGTCATTTCACAGTGTGATTGTAAAACTTGATTGGTGAATACACCTGCTCGGCTGATCCTCTGACTGCTACTAACAGATATACAGTTCCCCTTTTGTCCGTGGCCTGCCTGTGTATGAGGGCTGGCTTAGCAAACCTGCACAGCTTTCAGAGAAGGAAAAGCCCAAGAACCCCATTTGATTTGAGGAAGTAGAAAATTAAGAGGTCATCGAAGGTAGCTTCAGCAAAGACCATATCCCTTAAGGTCTCCAAGAGCTCTCGCTGTGCAAGAATCTGTATGCTCATAATGAACCAACAATTTCAAAGAGGTTGAGAATGCCGGGTTCCAATGAAGCCCACTGTTCTGTACAAACTACACGTGTCTCTCCTACCTTCACACGTTGGTTTCTTGGTCCAAGTCGCTCTGTATTTAACGATCACACACTGACTAGAGTGATAGCCTTGTAATCTGTACCTGGAGACAGAGGGTTGGCAGTTGGAATTACCAGGCAGTTCCTGCTGAAGAACAACGACTTCTACTCAAAAGCGAAGGCAGGTTCACAGGGTCAGGATCAGTGTACACTTGCTCTCTTTGTAGGTGTTCCCCCTTGTACCCCCCACTCAAGCTGTCCCTAGATGCTCAGGTTTGATAATCCCAGGGAATTAGCCCTCACACTCACCCTTCATCACAGGAAAATGTCACGGTTATACCAACACGAAGACTTGAGGGCTCCGTGACTTGCCCATTGGGAAATTGTCTTATAGGTTCACACTGTGCCTCTAAAAAGCAAGCCAGACATCAGAAGGCATGGCAAAAACAGAGCAACTCAGGTTCTTAAATGGGATTTTAAGTTTAGGGTACCTTTGCACACGGGAAAGGCAGCACTCCAGTCTCCCGAAGATAAGCACTTAATTGTCTTTTGTCCTTCAAGCAAGTAACCAGAGTTACAGCCATAAGCCACAGACAATCCAGGGGCAAAGCGGTCAATGTCTTTCCCTGTGTGGTATCCATTGGCAATCTGGGGAAGTGGTGGACACTCCAGAGGGAAATCTTTACAAACACAAGTCGGAGAAAACCCATCAGATGCCATCTCCTTTCCAGTCTAGATGCTGACAGTCTTGTAACCCCTGTCAAGCAGATGCACCAGCGTTCCCATGTCATAACAGGCGCTGTACCACGTGTAGCTGTCTCCAGTGTTCTAGATTTGTTCTTCTTAAAGCCCTAAGATCCCCGCGATGCCGCCAAAACATCCTGCACCTTCTAAGGCTTTATTCATACAATATTTTACTAAATTAAATTATGTAACTGCAGAAGACATAGCATAGTTAGGGTTTAAACTATAAAAATACTCATTTATAGGCATCTTCTGACCACATCTGAAATTCGAAGCTTTTCACAATTGGCAGGTGCTGTAGAAATGTAATCCCAATAATTTAGGGGGGCATTGTATTTCTCAAATTGAATTATGCACTAAGAACGACTTTTGCCTTAGTGTACACAAAATGACTTGATGTCACATACACACATAATGATGTCATACTGACCATGAATACAATCTTTCACGTCACACACTTCCACCTGCCTTGCAAGTGCAAGGTCCTGAGTTCGATCCCAGTACAAAAAAAAAATCTTTATGGATCACAAACATGATCTAAATATTCAATATCAATGATGATGAAGATGAGGTATAGAGAAAGGGTGAAGTGAGGATGGGAAGGGAAATCATAATCATAACCAAAATGTTAAATGCATATTCCTGCTCCCTGAGTGTGAACATGTACTTAAAGCATGTATTAATTCAAAGCTTCCCACTTAAGCATTGAGGGATCTTTCATTCTTTTCTCTGCTTCCTGGACTCTGTCAGGTTAGCAGATGATGCAGGGCTCTGTAGCATCACGATGCACTGCAAGTTATCTCGGTGTTTGCCCCACATACTCAAGACAACCTTGTGAGGTGATGCAACAGAGATTTCACAATGTAAACAGCGAGAAATCTCACTGCACACTTCCAATTCATGACTTCATCATTTTGTGTTTAATGGATACAATTAAATGTAGCAAAAGTAAAATGGTTTTTTAAAAAGTGACTTTTGCCTTGAGAAACATTGCAGTTGTCAAAAAAATGGTCCATTTTTGCACCAACTGTAAGTATGTTCTGTGCTCACAAGTAGCCCAAATCCCTCAGAAGCTTATCCTATTATGATTAATAATATAATTCATGGATTAAAGATCTCAATATTAAAACAGAAACACTAAACTTGCTGGAAGGTAAGTTAGGCAGAACTCTTGAAGACAATGGCATAGGAAAAGACTTTATGAACAAATCCTCAGTAGCATGGGAACTAGCAGAAAGAATCAACAACTGGGATCTCACCTTATTAAAAAGCTTCTGCACTGCAAAAGAAACCATCAACAGAACTAAGAGACAACCCACAATGTGAGAAAAAAAATTTACCAGCTGCTCCTCAAAGGACTATTATCCAGAATATATAAATAACTCAAAACAACCAGCCCCCCACAAATATAAAGACCCTATCAAAAGTGGGCATCTGAAATGAACAGACATTTCTCAGACTAAGAAGTAAAAGCAGCAAGTAAATATATGAAAAAATGTTCCACATCACTGGTCATTCGAGAGATGCAGATGAAAACAACACTAGATTCCACCTCACCCCACAAAGAATGGCTGCTATCAAGAAATCACACAATAACAAATGTTGGCGCAACTGTGGGGAGAAAGGAATCCTTCTCCATTGTTGGTGGGAGTGCAGACTGGTGCAACCACTGTGGAAATCAATATGGAGATACCTCAAAGAGCTTGGACTAGAGGTTCCATTTGACCCAGCCATCCCTCTGCTGGGTATCTTTCCAAAAGAATTAAAAGAATCATACCACAGTGGTCTATGTACACCTATGTTTATAGTGGCACAGTTTGCAATTGCTAAAACTTGGAAACAGCCATTTGCCCATCAGTTGGAAACTGGACAAAGAAGATGTGGTTTTTCTATCAAATGGAATATTACTCATCCATAAAGAATGAGAAATTAGATTCATTCATAGGAAAATGGATACGTTTTGAGGATATGCTCCTAAGTGAAATAAATAAGTCACACATATGTAAATACGGAACAGTTTCTCTGGTGTGAAAAAGTATAATAGTACACAAGATCCTAATGAGATAATTAACAATGTGAAATAGGAAGAAAAGGGCTAAAGGTGTAGGGAAAGTGGGAAGGGTGGGGGAAAGGGAATAAGGGAAAAGAAAAAAATGTGAGAAAATGAAAAAATGGAAATAAAGTATTTGTAAACGGGGAAGGGAGGAGGGGATGAAGGGAGGGCAGGGACAAGGGGAAAAAATGAGAACCAAGACCTGTCATGTAGAGGTACAAAATCCCAACAATGAATGTAACTGTACTGTATACCTAAAATGTACCAATAAACTCAATTAAAAAATAATAATATAACTCTTTGGCTCCCTATGCAAACACATATACAGCATGTGTGTACTCGAATGTATTACTGTATGCTTTGCTTCCTTTACACAGTTATACAGTGTACCCATATTGCTCCATGACAGTGCACATGGGTCTGCCTAAGCCTTAATAAGGCCTCCCTTGTTTTCCACAGCAAATCCATGCTGGAACTCCTCTGCTTTCCTCCTCCAAGACTGACTATTCTTCCACCCATCGATCGATCCATTGATAGCTAGGAGGAATCAGATTTTTAAAAATAATTTAAAATTTTTCAGCTTTTTAATTTGCTTAGATTGTACCAACATTATTCTTGATTAAGGAAATAAATATCCAATTTTGACTGTATGTTTGGTAAAATATTGCTAATCTTGGAAATTTTAGAATTTACACTTCGATTCAGATCTCGTTATCAATACAAGCTGAACCAGGTGAGAAGAAAATGAGGAGTTTTATTGTCAAAGTCATCTTTTAAGTGACAGTTCAAGAGGTGACCTTTGGAAAGAGTGAGTCATTTCTGAACTGTCTGCCAGAGACTCCCCTGAACAGAGAGTCCCCTGAACAGAGAATCCGGATTAACGGCTGTTCACAGGTGACTTTCACACACATTGGGTGTACTTTGCTGATAAATCCCACATTCTTATTTGAACCACAACCCACATATACACTTTGAAACCACCCAATTCCCAGAGTCCAAATAAACTCTGGCCCCATCCTCGGAGGCTCTTCCCGCTCAATATTTAGGTATGTTCGACTACATCGCCCTATAATACTTAACTCCTTTGCTCAGCTGATGTTTTTCAAGTGCACAGTTACAATTCTCCACAACGAAGAAGAGCAGGAAACTAGTTTTCACCTTTCCTCTTGCTTCCAGCCTCCGCCCCGTCGTTCATACACCCATCCTGCTCTCCCCTCATCCCCGCAGAAATGCCAGGCCCGGCCTTTCCCTTAGGTCTTTTCCCGGACTTACCACTCTCACAGACTGGCAGTGGTGTTGGCCCCCAGGTATTATTTTCTTGGCACCAAACAGACTTATTTCCTTTCATGGTGAAGTTGGTATTACAGGTGAATGTCACAGAACTCCCATGTATGTATGGTGGTCTTCCTTCACTTCGGTGCCCCCCGGGAACGACAGGCTCAGAGCAAACAGTATTTCTATTGAAATATTCACATCGAGGAGGAGCTTTATCCCAGATCCCATTCACTCCGTCTTTACTTATACAATGGACAACTCTTTCTCCAATGATGCGGAAGCCATACATGCACGAGTATGAAAATACAGTGTTAAGAGGTATGGGTCCAGCATGGTTACTTTTCCGGCCGTTTCTGATAGAAGTAGGCGGGTCACAAGAGATCCCTGAAAAGTAGGAAACAAAACACCTACGTGGGCATGCTGGTCACAACAATAAAAAGATTAAAATTTAAATAAAAGATGTGAATACAGATCACGTCACCGCCTCAAAATCAGACATAGAAATAGATATGATATATTTTTTACTTATAGCCTCTGTTTATTCCCAAGATCCTAAATTTTTACCTCTTGATTTTCAGCAAACAAATCAATGCAAACCGTCTTCAACAATAACAAGGAAACCAAATTTACCCTAAAGCTCTGTCTACCCAATTCTAATACACAAAAGGCAAAGTTAGCCCATGAGAAGAACTCGTTAGTGATATGGAGTTACACGTGGGGAGGCATTGCGGACTGAGGACATCTGGGCTCAGCAGGCCCGAGTTCAAAGCCCCACCACAGCTTGTGCCTTCCCTGAGCCTCAGTTTCCCGGTCTGTACAGTATGAGGTTGGAGGAGAATCCAGGGGAACAAAGGATGTGAAAAGGGCAAGAACAACACGTGGAACCCATTAACGACCCAGTCCCTGTTTTGGACACACAACTGCAGCACAGGTGGCAGGACCGACTTTGGTCCCGCTCTGAAGTTACTACACACCCTTGTGGTCTCTCGATGCTGGATTCGGTAGGATGGCCCCAGGAAGTAAGCACAAGTCTTATAATGAACTCATATCCTTGATTTGCATGTCCTGGTCAGCATGAAGGATATTAGTTGTTTATCGCTATTTTGGTGTAAACATACTTTTTCTGGGAAAATCTCAGAATACAGGGAAAATAGCCAACAGCTACACCTTCTAGCTCATCTCTACTTGGCCCTAAGCGGAGCTGTTCGGTGGAGGAGCTGACACAGAGGGTAACAGCCCAACTGCTTCAGCACGTCAGGGGCATGCTGGGTTTCGGTGCAGGCAAATTTTTCAAGAGCCTTTATCTCTACACACATAGAATCCACAGTACAATGTGTAACAGATGTGATGTTTTTAGTCTGGATTCTGAAACAGAATGGCAAACACAAATTCTAAGTATACACATAGATAAGATATCAGGGTCGAAAAATGTATGGAAACGTACACAATCAAGAGGCAAGATCTGTTTTTGATTATTTTTGTTTCCTACTCACATTCACAGACAGGATATTTGTTATTCCAAAGTGTTGTCCTTCCCTCTGGGACACAACGACTGAAAAATTTGCTATTAAACTAGTACCTTAAATCATGGGGACAAATCATCACTAGTTCCACGGAATTAATCACTTCTCTCAAGTATTCACAGGATCTAAGTTTTAAAGCATTTCTGGCTTGAGGAAAACTCTGACTCACTTGACTTTACAGTGAATTCAGAGTAGGTGAAAATAGAGAATCAAATTCTGAGAATCATTTTCCTTTTAAAAAAATCTCACTCTCCTCTTTGCCATCCAAATGTTAACCTTCTGTTGACCATCTTGAAAGAAACGCTCAGACCCTAACGGAGGGAACATCAAAGTCCTTGCTTCGCATGTTCACCCTTAAGGAGCCTCTCTTACTGTGCCCAAATTATCCACTCCTTTCCCATTATAAGCACCTTAACTTCAAAACTTTGCTTTTGCACACGATGAAAGGACAATTCCCATGCACAGCATATGTATTTGAAGAAAATGAAAAGGACTTGGTCATGTCAGAGTTCCTAGTTGTACAGAGCAAAGAAAATGATCAGAAAGAGAAGACCACTCCGTTCAGTGCGCATGCTTTCTGGCGCTTAGCTGTGGGCGGTGTGGGCCGGCCTTCCCACCCCACCCTCACCTGGGACACAAACAAGGAAAGCTCTGCCCCAAGCTGGAGATTAGGAGGAACACGTAGCCATCCCATCGAGACGCTGGTTTGGAATGGCATCGTATGATTTCACCAGGAAAAAAAGAGACAAGGCAGGCACACAAGATGGGAAAAGGGCAGAGTTTCCTTCAGCCGGAGTAAGGGGCCCCACGGCTCCAGGCGCCCATGGATGCATAGTGCACAATGTTAATTCAGCAAGAGCACAGCCAGGCTCACCAGCTGCAGGGCACTTTCCATCCAACTAGAAAGAATTCCTTATCTCTTTTGCTACAATTGCCGTGGTGGACACGTGGAGGTGGTAGACATTCTGAGAGGAGAATAGGACCAGAAGAACGTTATTTCTGAAACAGCTTCTTGTCTACAACTCACAGCCAGTTTGAGGTCAGTCGGGGTGGAATGAAGTGTCCAAGAGAAAGCAGTACCATGCGTTACTCCTTCCAGACATGGTGAAACATTTCACTCATCACTTTGATTTTATTCAACTAAAAGTCCTTCTGCATTCTGCACTCTTGCCCCAGTAGTGTTGCCAAAGGATCCAAACTTTCATTGTATATTTTCTTTCTTTATAAGACACGGTCTCCCTTTGCCCGACCATGAACTCACTATGTAGCCCTAGGCTGGCCTGAAGTTCATGGCAGTCCTCCTGCCTCAGCCTCCCAAGTGCTAGGATTACAGCATGCAGCAACACACCCAGCCTGTAGTATATTTTCAACACCACAAGCTAATTCTTTCTCTGCTCCCAAACAAGATATCTGTGCTTTCTGAAATGGGTTTGTATGTTGCCAGGATTATAAGAAAGTCAAGTACTTACAATAAAAGAATGGGAGGAGAGGAGAATGGAGGTCAGGAACTCAATCTGACTGCTGTCCTTCTTCCATGAAAGCATAAAAATTTTCAGTATAAAAAAAATGTATGCTGTCCACAGTATCTGAATCAAATGCTGATATCAGCCAACTTCCCCCACTGACATGGCCAACAGGATTAAGAGTTCATTTAACCCTCATTTTAAAAAATAGAAGCATGCATATATACACATATACATTAATATACATATAGAAAAGTTTCTTAATTATTGACTTTGGAACTATCTGCTTTTATAAATGATTATCTTTTAATTGGCAAAGGTGTACATTTTTATGGGACAGCATGTGATGTTTAGATACATGAATACGTCGTGTAGTACTGAAAACAGGATAAATGCATCTATCTTCTTAAACGTTCATCATTTCTTGGTAGCTTTTTTGAAATACACAGCTCTTTATCATCAGATACGGGCATTTTGCTGTCCAACAGAACACTGGAACTTACTCCTCCTCTCTATAACTTAGTACCTGTTGGCCCAAGCTCTCCTCACTGTCCGCTGCTACTCTCCCAACTTCCGGTAAACACTATTGTGCTCTCAACACTATCTGTGAGATAAACTGTTGTATGTTCCACACGCGAGTGAGACCATAAGGTCTGGGCCTTTCTGTGCCTAACTTGTTTCACCTCACATGACGCCAACGATGAAGCTCCACCCTCTTTTGTGACTTTATCCATCCTGGGTATACACCACGTCTGTATTCAAGGCTACTGTCAACGCAGCTGCCCTAAACACGGGAGTGCCGAGTCTCTTCCACAGGTTGGTTTCACCCTCTCTGGATATGCACAGACCCAGGGTGGGACCACTGGGTCACATGGCGATTCTGCCTTTAATTTTCGGAGGAACGTCCAACAGTGCACCCCTGTTTTTCCATATCCTCATCAGCACTTGTTTTCATAATAACCCTTCTGACTGGGGCGCTTTCGATCTGCACCTTCCTGGTAATTAGGGATGTTGATGTCTGTTGGCCATTTCTGCGTCTTCTTTAGAGAAATGTCCCCTTATATCTATGGCCCACTTTTCAATTGGAGTATTTGCTGTCGCTGCTCCTTTGCTATTGGGTTTTCTGTCCCTGAAGTATTCTGGATTTTAACCCCTTGCAAGATGCAAGTTTTACAAATATTTTCCCCATTCTGTGCATTGCCTTTTCACTCTGTTGATTATTTCCTTTTCGGCACAGAAGCCTCTTAGTTTGTGTGAGCCCATCTATCTGTTTTTGCTTGCATTTACTGTACATTTGGGTCGTATAAAAAATCCATCTCCGATGTCCAGGAGCCCTTCACATATGTTTCCTTCTGGCAGCTTTATGTCTAACTTTTAAAGACTTTAATCCATTTTGAATTTTTTAAAGTGTCTTGCAATTTTCCCTACATGAATACAGATCTAGAATTTTTCCCAAATATAATTAAATTTCCGACTTCGTCAGTATGTAGCTATTGTTAGAAAATTTCACTTTTAAATTCTTTAATCAGAAAATGCAGCCACATACGCTGTCTTCTTCCTGTCCTTCCCATACATTCACTGTATCTCCTCTGCCAAAACCCGCAATTTATTTCCAAATACCCAATATTTCAGCCCAACTTCCCCTGAGCACTTGGGCAGTGCAAGGATCCATCGGCTGTTGCTCCCTTTCATGGTAAAGCCGGGTTTACACTTAGATATCACTGTATCGTTTAATGAAAATGAAGATCTAAATCTGGACTCTAGATCTCCCTTTCCAGCTTTTGGAAGTGGGCGCATGGCCTGAGGAATGGGCTGAGGGGTGGGCAGCCCCTTGGCTGTCTTTGCTGGTGCAGTAAGTTGGCTTCTCACCCGAGAGGTCAGTCTGCTTTCTCATCCCGCCTGCCAGGGTAAGGCCAGGCTACCACCATTCCATGGAAGAGGTCTCTCTCCCCACTGGAGACGGCTGGGGAAGAATCGCAAGGTAGGAAAATAGAGGAGGCATTTGGATGTTACATTTTCTGAGAACTTTGTCTTTGCTCACATAAGTCAAACTTCAACTCAGCCCACAACTTATTCATGTTACTGAAAGTCTGATCTCAAAAATGATCCTAACCAGGAAGTAGCCAGGCAGGAAGAAAGGAACTGGTCAATGAACACTCAAAAAGCTACAAGCTGTCTTCTGTCCCCACCATAGAGTGTGGACAAACTGTTACAGAGGCAGCCAGGTGGGCCGACTTTATGCGTGGAATAAAGCTGTCGAATGTGTACTCTCATAGGAGGGTTTAGATTTAAGAATTTATTCATTATGAAATAACTCTTGAAGGATGGTTGTTGAGGGAAAACGTGATGGGAGTAGGGGCTCCAGAGGAAGGTGGGTTACAGATC